ATAAGCTGTGCTTGTTAAACTTTTTATTCAGTCCATGGTTTTCTCAGAACTTGCTACTGCAACTTTAAGAAGTAGGCAAATGAAAACACAAAAATGAAGGCATTTTAGTAGTGCATACAAGTAGGCAATCGGTTAGAAAAAATAAATTTTAGCATTTGAGCACATGTTAAGTATTTCTCCAAAATACTATTATAGGATGGGGTTGTTTTATGAAGATTAATACTGTTGACCTATTGCACCCTAACCCTTCCTACCAAATAGCCATACACAACAAACAAACATGGAAGTCATGCTCAGTTAAGTCAATTAGATAGTTTCATTGTTCAAGAAGTTACTAGTAGATGCTGTTGCCACGAATAAACTGTAGGACCCTGTTGGGATATTTTTTAGGACAGCATGTTCAGCAGTGATGCTTTTCCATGAATCAAAATAACTTATGAAGACACAGCAAAGTGGGCCGAGAAGCCCATTAAAAAAATTAGTGGTGGCACATGGCACTGTGGTGTAGAGGAAGAGATCCACTGGAATAATGTGCTTTACTTTATGACTTCTTCAGTACAATGTTTGGACTTTATGCATGGTTTAGTACCAATTTCGCTCTGCAACTTACAAGAAAAGTAAATGAGAAAACCCCCCAAAAAACTTTAGAATTGTAATACATTTTAAACTTGTAAGTTCTTTAGTCTTTGAATGTGCTGAGCTCAGCATTTGATACAGGCTTTTTAGTTGTCCCTAACAGGTCAAAAGCTGCAGAGGGGTGATTGAAACCAGGACTTTGCAGCAATGAAGCACCATTTTTACTACTTTGATGCAATGAGCCATAGAGCAATGTTCTCTCTGCCTCTTCCACCAGCATTCCTTCACATTAGATCATTAATCACAGGGAGATAAAACGTTGCAGAGCTGGGACAACAGCTGGTGGTAAGTCAGTGGTAACCTTTTGGTGTTATTGATTTTGAAGAGGGCCAAACAGTGAAAGCCATCAATATACACTGGCACACGCCATAAACATCAGAGTGCAGCCTGCTGTTTTCCAAACGCTTGCTGCTTCTCCAATATGTAACCATACTAGTTCATAATTTATTCATTAGTCTTGGACTTGTTTTAATTTGGACATTTCCTATTTTGGCTAAATTTATTCATGTTTTATAACTCTTGGATCTTAATCAGATGTTATTACCATAGTTGGAATATGCGGAACCCTGTGTTTCTACATCCACCGTCGACTCCAAACAATATCAGATTGCTGTTGCATAACCTCAACGTGTCGATCCATCGTTTGCCCTCCAACATATCATTTCCTGTTCTCCTTTTAGTGAAGTATCGGTGTTCGTTTTGTATTTTTTTTTGAGGACCAAACTCCAAAATCAGTGTACTTTACTGTGTGTAGTGCATCATTGTGGCATATCGTGTTAAAATTTCCGATCTGGCTTCAATGCCAGTTAGCATTGAAGCTGCCAAAACTGATGGTTTTTCTCAGTGAGTAGGTTTAATACATTATACAACTGATATTGGGCATTGTGCACATAATACAGGTCAGCAAAAAAACCCCCCAAAACAAACAAAGAAACAAACAAAAAAACATATATATATATATATATATATATATATATATATATATATATATATATATATATATATATATATATATATAACTAAAACTATATTGTTTTAGTTAGGGCCATAGAAGTACAATGTCCCTAAAAATACTGTGAAGTAATTTCGGAGTAAAATATTCAGTCGTTGCTATTTTTATTTGATAGTGAACTAAAATGGCAATTATATGCACTTAATAATTTCTGAAATGGAGACTGAAAAAAAAAATCTTTAAGCTTTAAAACATATTATTCGCTTGCATATGGATATTAAGATTAAAGACAACTAGAATCCTTTGATAGGATTCTGTTTTCTTATGTATCAGCCAAAGTTTTACATTTAAATTACATTAAGTTCTGTTAACGCCAAAAAGATCCAGATGAAACACGAGTGTTACTGAGAGCTTTCCACATATATACACTTTGTAGAAACCACTCCCATGTCTGCTTACTAATTTGTCATCCAGAGCTGCAGTATTCCATTGAGATTCGCTCTCAATCCCACCTCCCCATTTCATGCGAAAACACTTCCATCAATTATTCTTTTTATGAAGTTCCAGATTTGTCATGCAAACTCATATTTTGAACGTTCTTAAGCTATTTTATTGTATCCATTTAATTTTTAAGGCATACTGCTTATGTATTTTCTGTTTTCCAAACTCCCTTGTAGCTCACAAAGTGATTGTAAAATCATAATGTGCTGTGCTCCCTGTACACATTTTTGTCTTCCTAATGTGCCCTCAGCTCAAGAAAGCCTGGCTCTTTCAAAAGATGGATAGCGAAGCAAATATTTCTGTTAACTTTTCGGGCATTAGCAGATATATTTTCTGTTTTAATGTGTTTATCTTGACTCATGAGCTTCTCTATATCCATTAACATATGATTATCGTCTCAAAGCTAATAGCTTTGTCTGTTGTTCTCTTCTTCCTAAATCTTGTCCTTTTTCCTATCTTTAATGCTCCTTTTTTACTGTTTCCTTCCTTTTTCTGTCATTTTCTCTCTCGTGCTTTTACTCTCCTGTGTGACTCCACATTCTGCCCTGCAGCTCTTCAACATCCCAGATTGAAGCCTTACTCCCACACAATGCTCTCCATTATTGCTTAATTATCTGTGGCCTGCCATTTGAATAATGTGCAATCTCTTAATCTCTTTAACATTTGCTTTTGCTTGCTGTTTTTATTTCCTTCAAACTTTCTCTTGCCTTGTGATGCCTGAGACTCATCAGAAAACTTCTTGACACCACTCCATGTTTCACTTCCTCCTGAGAGCCAATTCACTCACTAGTTAGTTCATAAGACCTTAAAGACACAACTCAAAGTGTAAATAACCTCCCAATGAAAGCATAACCCCAACCCTGGCAAATTTTGAGAAATCCCAGCAAAGTCAGCAGAGTCAAGAGACCCAACTGAGTGTAGGGATGAATGAAGGGATGAGTGGGGCTGTGATCAGGGTGAAAGAAACATTATCTGATCCACTTTGTCGCTATATTTAACAATTTAAAGTCTGTTCTAGTGACTTTTTTCAAAACAACTGGTGATAAATCTAGCATTTCTTTTTCCTCTGTGGTTGGAGACTCTTATGGCAAAAACTTTCTGCAGGTTGGCTGCAGTGCTGAGTGTTTGTCTTTTAAGTAAAGTGTAATTATTTCAGTTACATTGTTGATCTGTTCAACACTATACCTTCACTAATAGTCAGAGCAGAGGAGACCTATTCCACTACATATCTGTGTTGCAAATTAATCACACATTTGCAAAACTCAGTAACGCCATCAATCGATGCTCGCCAGTCACCATGGCAACGCTCACAACAACCCCTGACTTGCCACCTGGCAGGGGCAAAGAAGTGGGGAGGAAGGTCTGTGCTTTCATACTCAAAGTGATGAAGTTATACCAAGCTGTAACGTGGCAGCCTTAGGAAAATTGAACTGCATGAGAACCGTTTGACAGGAAAGGCCAGGACAGTTTTTACACCAAATAATAGCAAATCAAAAGAATTGCACAAAAAAATGTCAAAATTCACACAAAACAGAGATAATCTATTTAGATAGTTTATCTGTAAAAAAAAAAAAAAAAAGCTGTTTTGGGGCGAGTTTCACTTTGAGAGTTTGGTAGTTGCAGCTTTGGTTGGTAAGATGTAGCAAAGAGCCATTTTTGACTAAAGCCAAAGACATAAAATAAAAAATAACCACTGCACCAACTCATTGCAGTCATTTCTCTCTCTATATATATATCTGTATATCTGTCTATGGCTTACCTTTCAACTTAAAAATGAATAAATAAATCTATTAAAGAAAATAATCTCAAATTAACAGAGTGAGACATAAAATGAAATAAATATATTATTGCAGCTTTATAGCAGGCCTTTAGTAATAATTATTTTTCAGAATAAGTTCAGTTCTTTATTTTTCTTCTTTAAATTCTTTGAGATATATCAAATTATGACTCATGTAGCCTTCTGTTCCCTTAAGCACCGTGGTACCATAGGATAATCTATTAAAAGCATGAACTGACATGTATTTATATGGGTGCATTTGTTTCAGTTTGTTAAAAGTTATCTGATTGAATTTTTTGAAATGTGTATGTCTCTGCATGGTCCCTGCAGAAAATCAATTGGAGCTATTCTCAGGGCTTCTCCCGTATCAAATGTACACGCTGCTTTATTCCAGTGAAAATGTGCTCATTGCAGTCGCTCTGTCTGTTGTCTTCACTGTTTGTGACTGATCATTTACCTGAAGCAACAGTATCTAGGGACATTAAGCAAAAGTGTTTTGTTTGAGATATGGAGTATATTTGTAAATGTATTCCTAGTAGAACACCAAACAAGCAAATGCATTTTCTTGTGTTGTTGTTTTTTTAAGTGAAGTCTAATTTCAGTTATATTGTAGAAATATGCCATCGTAATCCACTTCCCTGGGCTTTATACAATTTTGTTTTACTGTGATAGTTAATAATGAGTATATTGCCATTGCTTTTTAAAGCTGTTTGTACTCAATTTAAATTACAATTGTTTTCCATTGGTTTGGTACATTACAGAAATCAATAGCAGGCAATAAACACTCACAAACAGCTTTTATGAGTCAAATAAACCTTAGAAGGGCAGTTCAAGTAACAGTGTTCACTCCAGAAGTCATTATGGACATTTTGAACACGAGTTTATAGCCCATTTTACATGTTTCTGATCAATGCACATTATTAGTCTTAGCAAAAATATAACAATAATTTTCATCACAATGCTATTTAATCTTTGTAGATCCAATCACATTTTTGTTTACTGAGGAATATTCTACACACGTTTTATACAATCAGCTTGTTCATTGTTGCATACTCTTGCCTCAAATCAAAGAATAGACATCATATTATTCGGAATTTCACATTAATGACCTGATTGTCTTTATTCTTTTGACAGGGTTGGTAAAGCTTGGAATTCACTGTGTGACGTGTCAGAAGGTTGCCATAAAGATCGTCAACCGTGAGAAGCTCAGCGAGTCCGTACTAATGAAGGTAACGTTTCAGATTTATGGTTTTAAAATCTTAACCTAGTCAAATATTTTGCATTTTTTTTCATGCTTTAAGTTTTTTGCTACATTGAAAAAATTGTTTTCAAAAGGCCTCATTGTTTTTTGTTGTTTTCAAATAAATTATTTTGTATAACAGATCAACGTTTAATGCTTCCCCCATGGTACGTCTTGTTCTTTTCATAAATATTTTTGTTTTCTTCTATTGTCTCAAATCTTAAACTGCTGCATAATAATGATGGCATGTGTTTTAAGGCTAGTGCACAAGAAAGTCAAGCCGATGCACACTTTGCTTTGTATTTCTAGAAAAAGAAAAGGTTGTAACATTGTGGGATGTGTTGAAATGACATGCAGCACTGAACTAAAGTATTTCAAATGAGATCTTGTATCGATTCCTGAGTGAAAATGTAGTTTTCTGAACTGTGCTTTCTGTCACTTTTAGATTCATCAACTGCTTTACAAGTTCAGTTTACTTCTGTTCATGAAAAAAACAAGAGTTTAAGATTGATTCATCCTCAGCAGTCATATGCGAAGCAGTCTTGGTAAAGTTGTAGTAAATTCTACAAGCACTCGTGTGTTTTTTGTTAGAAAGGGGTCAAGCAAACTATACCTCCACTCCTACTCATAAAAATCCCATTTTATTAAAGGATTTATAGTGAGCTACTTGAAATGTAACTGCTATTAAAGTCTCAGTGCACATCACCTGTGCAGTGCCTTGGTAGCTCGGATTTCATTTCACTGTGAAATGCTTCTGCTTTCTTCCCAGTCTTTGCTCGATACTCAACCTTACTTTATGAGTGAACAGACAGATTTAGTTGCAAGTTGGTCACTGAATTGCTGTTTCTAAAAATGAGTGTGGTGCTTCTTGCAGCAGTTACTCTGCATAACACCTGTGTGTGTTGTGCACACGCAGGGTCTTAAAAAAATGTCTTAGGCATCTCCAGCTTTCACCTGAATACCATATCAGGTCATTTTTATCTTGTTCACTGTGAGAGAGATTCACTGCTACACAATACTTAAAAACAAAGTAAAGTTGGGCTCTTTGCAATGCCTCTCCATAGACAAATATTTGATTTCTTACACATTAAATCAAGTATTTCAAGTATTTCTTTTTCTTGTCATTTTGATTATTTTAGCTCACATATAGTAAAATACAGGTAAATATTATAGAGACAGTGGCATGTTGATGAGGTAGCGGGGGTTGTTTTTATCTTCAAAAAATTTAAAAAAGAGTGACTGAATGAAAAAAAAAATATATATAAAAAAGACAGCAAAGAAAAAGGAGTTGTCTCAACCCAGGATGAGGCTGGATCATAAAAGTATACTTTTTTGTCTTTATTTAAATAAAGTAATAGTCAAATCTAAATGATATGATTTTAAGATGGTTTACATATTTCAGTTATTTGCTTCATGTATTTATGTAGTCTTTTGAGTCTGTTACAGGATGCCATACCCTTCTCTATAAATGACACAGCATCATAAAACACTCCAACCTCTATTCTGGCTTTGCATCAATGTGTGCCACTCTAAAATTGTCACTCACTCCATCAGGCCATTCCTTGCAAATATTTCTAGAGTTTCCCAAAAAGACTTAACCTTCATTACTCCTAAATTTTGAAAGCTCAGTAAACATAAACCCTTGAAAAATATCCTTTTTATAAGAAATGTTCTGTAACATTTCTTATTTATGCTATTTGAAAAATAAAGCACGTGAGGAAAAGAACTACATGAGGCTTAACTGAAAAATGGCTATTGAAAGCTTTGAAACTGAAACTAAATATATTTTTGCTTAATCTTAAAGAGACATATCTGTACGTTTCTCATTAGATGTCCTGATAATTTAGTAAGTGTCAGAAACTTTGATTGCCCACTTACCACAGTTTTTCTCTTTTTTTTATTTTTTATTTTTGGTAATCAAGTTGTTTTTTGCTCTTTCTCATGACATTCCAGGACTCCTGCTGGGCAGCTTCATTCTATCTCTGCTCAAAATACTCTTTATATGAAATGATAACTCAACTCTCTAGAGTTGATGGGATGGTTATAAAAAAACTAAACAAAACAAACAAACAAAAAAAAAAAAAAACTGGAGGTAACCAGGAGACTATTTCGCAAGATGTTCCAAATTGGAATTTACTTTAATTGGATCCAAGCAGAGAGAAATACTTACTGTAATTGTTGGCTTATGAGCTGGAAAGCAGGAAGTGAATGGGTTTGCTCACATCACAGGCCGTCTGAAATGTGAAATTCCCTCAGTTCTCATCATTTCATGCAGTAACACCATTAGACTTCAGATGAAATGCTCTTCGTGCTTGGAAATTGCTGTTTGATAAACATTCTGTATAAATCAACTCCTTGCTGTGTGGAAATCTCCCACAGTCTTGTTTTTCTTTGCTCTCACTCCACTGCTTTACTCTAGAAATAACTTTTCTTCTGTCTCTTACTCCACTCAACATGCAGTCAAGTATTTCCATGAAGGAAAAGACTGGCCATTTCTGTCGCCTTTGCTCTGACAGAAGTATTATTAGGTGAAGCAGAAGTGGTTGGTGGAACAGCTGCAATATGTGACAGCAGTAAGGTGCGGCAAAAACTGACAGGTCTCCGACAGGACACACACTTGCTGAAGCTGCAGTTCAGAGCCAATTACCGAGCTCTGACATTGTCATTCTTCGCCTGGTCCTCTATTGGTGCGTGTGTAGCAAGCAGATGTGTACTCATGTGAAGTATTTGCATTGAAAGACAGAACTATTCGAGATATTATTTTTAAAAAATGTATGTAATTTTTCATGAAACTGCTTCAGAGAATTGTTAGAGAGCCTTAGTGGACAAACGGTCTCATAAAGACAGAAGCTCAATAGGGTTTTGGAAAAGCTTAAAACAGGATTTGGTTATGAAGAAGTATTCCAATCTTTGAGAATATTAGACAGCTTCATGTAAACCAGTCATTGGAAATTTAAAGATTATCACCAAACTATTAAATACACTAAAAACACTTGCTATAGACACAGTCTTGTCTTTGCAAGGCTAAAATGAAGGTTTTATGTGCAGATCACATAAAATTTCAATAAAACATACAGAAGTTTGTAGTTGTACTGTGATGTTTCAAAGCACTTAAGATGCAATCTAAACAATTTTATAGTGTTCAGATATTTAGAATTAGTTTTGTTTGCAGCTTAATTCTATTGGTCGTGTTTTGGTATTAAGCTCTTAATATCTTAATGTGGCATTTTCATTTAGTAGATATCTAGGTTCATTGAACACAGAGCCTGAAGCAAACAGTTAGTCCAAGAGGAACCACAAAGTTCACATTTCTGCATGGTCACAGCAACACTGATTTTGCAAATAAGTTCCCCAATCAAATCTCCAGTTCTGAGGATCCTGCTGCTCCTGGACAGATGTTGACTGCATCCGCAAGCCTCTTTTTCACAATATTCCAATTGTTTTGCACTGCAGTCTCTGGTGCTTCTTTTTGTCCTGTTTGCCTGTCAAACTGTCAAAGTCGCCGGGCAGTACTCTCCTGCTAGGCCCCGGCTGTGAAATGTCACCTTTTAATATGATAATGTCTTTAGTCCCCGAGGTGCCATTAGGGAGAAAATCTGACTCCCCTGGACAGGTCTGTGTATGCAGCTCTGCTGAAGACACACTCGCGAACAGCCACAGATAATAGACAGAACTGCTCAATAAGAACTTTTCTCCAGTACATATACCACACAGGGAGAGACACATTACTATGTCTGTGCATGTATGTGTCCTTTATGACCTGTGTCATCCCTCTCCCTCTGTCCTTCTGCTGACTGGCCTTAAGAGTCAAGGGTTTACGGAGATGAAGCAGACAGGTTGAATTAATTGTCTTAGAGATTTTTGGCGGAGACCTCTCAGCTCGATTCACTGTGTTGAACTTTATATAACTAATCTTGAACATTTTAATCCACGGCCCTACAAGCTGTGACCTAATAGAGCAGAGAGAGCACTGAACTTTCTTGGGTAACATATTCATCGGTGAACTTCCTGTCAGTTTTCTAACAAGAGAATAAGCCTCGACTGTTTGAAAGAACAAGCAGAAGACAGAATTTTTATTTTAAATATAAAATGGAGCAATGTAACTACTTGAATAATAAGTGTCTCGGTCTGTGGGAAAAGCTGCCTGTCATATTTTGAAGGATGAGATAGAAACAGACACATAGAGAATAAATTTTATGCACATATGACAGTATGTCAGCAGTATTCGGCACTGAGGGTAAACAGAACAGGGGACGGCAGCCTGATCGAAGTACTGTTGAAAATCAACCATTATTTTGTATGCGTGTGTTTGTGTGTGTTTTGAGTCCATATCTCAAGACCTGGGTCCATGTTTCTGAAAGTCACCCAGCTTCTCTGTCTATATCTGCCACAACTGTGTGTGGGCCTCAGAGGATGAGACTCAGTGGGAACAGAAGGCGGGGTGAAAGAGAACAAGGCAAAATAGAGAGAGATGGACATGCTGTGTGGACCCCCACTGAGACAAGATAACACAGATGCCTGTGTAGGGACATCACATCTCTACTTACATTTCCTCCCTAAAGTGGGAGTGTTTTCTATTGATCTGTTAACATGACATCCACACAAACAGAGCAGGCAAGTTGTCATGGTTATTACTGGGGTTGCATGCAAATCTAATAACGTCACTAATATGACAACAATGTCTGTCATTTTGCTAAGCCGAGCATGCATGTCAGACAAAACTATCCATCCATCCATCCATTATCTGTTCACTCTTATCCCAAGTGGGGTCGGGAGCTGCTGCCTGTCTCCAGCTATGTTCCGGGCGAGAGGCGGGGTTCACCCTGGACAAGTCGCCAGTCTGTCGCAGGGCAATACAGAAACAAACAAGACAAACAACCATGCACACAAACACTCACACCTACGGAGAATTTGGAAACACCAATTAACCTAACAGTCATGTCAGATAAAACAAGTGAACACATATAAGAGATGTGAGATTTTAAGATC